TATATATATATATATATATATATATATATATATATATATATTAAAAATTATATATACGATTACATTAAGAACATAATATTAATAAATATTATATAAGAATATAATATTAATAAATATACAAACTGTATAATTTTATAAAAGTATTTATTTATATAAACTTTGAAATTAATTAACAGAGTCATATAAAAATTATATGTAAAATAGAAAAATATATTAATATTAGCATATATTCTTCTGAAAATAAATTTCCTTAGAGACAACCTTTAAATGTGTATTTTTTCAATTCATGTAATACGCCAATCAAAAGTAAATTTTGTAATTTATATATAATAGCGTAAAAATACATACACCTCAGGAATCTGTACTTCGAGTTCGACCTCTTCTGATAAATGAGGAAGTTCTAAAATCCATGATAATTAAATAATAACATAATTATTGATACATATTGATATATTGATATATATCATATCTTTTTAATTTAGTATATGATGTTTTATGAAACAAAAACAGTGCATTGTATAAATAATTAAAAACGAAAATTGATGCATTGTTGTGTTACTTGTTGCAATGAGTTTCAAAAATCTGGTTGAAAACAGGTTGTATCTGTTCTAGCATATCCGATGTCAACATTCCTCTTTGTCTCAGTTTAAAGGCTGACGCGTTGCATTCTCGGATTAATCTTGATGCGGCGTAGCACGCTACTATTGAAGGTGACAAAGCGCATTCACTGGTTCCAGCAGAGATAGCCCACCACCAGAACACCGTCAATGAACCAGCTAAGAGATCTCCCTGTCCACCACATCGCCTTCCAGAACCAGCTAATCCACATGAGACAATTTCGGTACCTTTGTGACCATCCACAATCACATCCTTAGCTCCTTTATGCAGAATTATCACATTCTTTCCAAGAGCTTCCGCTGTGTGCTTCACATCAGAAACTTTTACTATAGGAGCAGGCAGTACAGATTTGTCCAATACTGCTTTGACCAAACGACTGAATTCCATCGCATTTGGTGTCAGAATGACTCCAGGATAATCTTTCACAATTTCCGGCTTCTGGCAGACCAGAAACAATCCATCTGCATCGATAATAAGTGGCTTCCTTGCCTCTCGGCAGATTGATATCAATTCAACAATAGTTTTGAAAATCTTTTCATCTCTGCCAAGTCCAGGTCCGATTAGAATAATGTGCAGACGATCAAGCCAAGGTTTTATTTGCTTGATTGCATCTTGTTGGTCTAAGACTGGATGAACTATTGGTTCTGGACTGAATGATTTAATAGGAATACTAGCATCCTTTGCACAAAATATGTGAACAAGATCAGCGCCAGTTCTTAATGCACTCATAGCTGCGAAATATGGTGCTCCCGTGTACTCAATGCTACCACCGAAAATACCAACCCTGCCATCTTGGCCCTTGTATTTGGTGTTGATTAAACTTGGTATCACCTTTCTTATTCCCTTCAACATACGTTCGTCCATAGATGATGATACAGATATTGATGTAGACATTATAGGCACTGATACAATTCTAATATATTTCCTGTAGACAAAATTACAAATAGCAAATACCATTCCTGACACAAAAAAATTCTTTAACAGTATACAAAAAATATTATCCAAAAGTTAACCAGAAACTTCTTTTATAAGAAAAAAATTATATTGAAGCAATTAATATTTTTATTATTTTATGTTTTGTCTTTATCTGTAATAATAACTAACAAACCTATTCGCTGATGCTCCTTTGCACAATAAAATAAGTCAAACAGAGATATACAAATGTTACAAAATAAAAATATACTTATTAGTCTTATATTAATGTTCACACAATGAATTTTGTATTAGAATTAATCTATTTTAATAGATGTCGGCACTATAATTTACATGTTATAAAAAAGGAGTCGTTGTACAATACAATACACAAATGTAACTAAAGAACAATCGGAGTCGATGTCTCTTTGTCTGATTTATTGACCAATTGGCCCACTGATTTGCATTATCGAAAAGTTGACGAGTCAGACACAAAAGTCAAACACAACCTCAAATGTATTTAAATAATATATATTATATTGTACAATATTATTTTACAATATAACACATTTTCTTTAAACTTAAATATAGAAAATAAGATAGCAATATTAACAGATAGATAAAAAAATACAATCTCTCGAATACCGGCGAGATCCTCGTTACAATTGATCTTATTACAAATTAGATAAAGAACAGAACGCTTGCAGCCGCATTTTCAACAATTTGCTTTCATAATCGTAGCTCCTCGGTGAAAAAGAAAAGATGAAGCGGCGATATCCAGAGAATGTGAAATTATTAAAGTTTCATTTCTCTAAAGTCAAAATAGAAATGTCTTCGAACTTATATTGAGACTTATTCTGGAATGCGTTCAGAAATAACATCTAAGTATCATCATTTTATTCTTATTTAATGTTCGATGAGTAACAAGGCTAAAATGATATTCAGATCTGATCATCATACAACCATAGTTCTGAATCTGATTTCTGAATCAATCCTGAATTGGAGATTAAAATTTAATCCAATCGTGTGACGCCGTTGACTTAACCTTAAATTTAAAGTCTTTATTCTTTAACCTGTGCTTCAGCCTTTCTACCGAGGGTACGTTCCTTTATTCACTCCGAGTGCTCATGCTATGACGTAATGGAAATATACTACGGCTATCGTTCCGTTTTAGTTTCGTGCGCTTTCTAACTGCTTCACGATTATAAAACGGAACGCAGTTGCAGTATGTTTTCAAGCTCCAATTGAAAATGGCTGACATATGTAATATTAAAAATATATAATTTTATTATATATATTAAATATAATATATATATATAAAATAATTAATAATAATAAAAAATAAATAATAAATAATGAATAATAAAAAATTAATAATAATATTAATATCAATAATAAAAAATAATTAATAATAATTTCATAATATTATATAATATTATAATAATTTCATTATATTATATTATTTCATATTATACTGCTTTATTTTCTTCAGCATCAATCAAGCTTATTTCAATCTCTATGGAAGCAGCCATCTTTGTGCTCTAACTGCTTTACCTCGCTGATTGAAGTAGCCGCAACAGGAAGTACGTCAAAATCAAATGACGTCATAGAATTCAAGGCAGTACTTTCGGAGTGCATTATTCTCTATATCGGAACGCTATTCGTAGTACTGACAGTACTCGGAGTGAATAAAGGAACGCACCCTGAGACACGTCGTGTTTGTCTGATCCTGACAGACTATTTCTTGCGAAAAATGAGTGTCGGAAAGGTACATATTTTTAGAAATCTTGTTTTAATTAGACATAGTAATGAAATTTCAAAAATGTATTAAAAAAATATATATTTTTGATAATTGTTAAGTATATATTTTTTATAAACTAAATAAGATGTCAAATAACTTTTTTATCATGCATGTTCCTAATTATAATGGATTCTATTAAGAATCATATGACTCTTTTTGTATAAATATTAATATTTTGATGAAAACTATTCTAGATGTTGACGAATGCAAAGATTATTAAAAACAGCGGGGCTGAGCCCGATCAATTCGAGGTTAGCGTTTCCCAAGCCCTCCTGGAATTGGAAATGAACAGCGACCTCAAATCGCAATTAAGGGAGCTCTACATCACTAAAGCAAAGGAAATTGAAACAAATAACAAGAAGGTAAATTTTCATCTCTTATAGTTAATCCATTTTGTTTATAGCTTTTCAATATGTTTCTATTTATATTTTGAGTCTCGTATTAAAGTTTTTTTCTTTATGGTTTTGTATACCATATGCAAAGATTTAATTAACTTTATTGAAGAAATTTGTTTCATTTTTGTGATATACCTGTTGAAAGATTTATAATTTTTGGCTGCGCATTCGTAAATGTTAATATTCATGCTTATTGTCTTTTTATTTTTTACTTTTTAACTATCTTCATGATAAGCAACAATTTTTAACTATCTTCATAGATTGATCTCAGGGAGATTAATCTGTGATTATTAGAAATTATTGATGTGTGTCAATTTTGTTTAAAATATATATATTTTAAGCAAACACATGTTCTTTGTAATATATTATTAAAAATAATCATATATGAATATACACATATGCACGCCTGCATGCTCATACGCCTGTACACATTCATATATGATTATTCTTAATAATATATAAGATTCTTAATAATATATTAGAAATAACATATGTTAAATTTATCACAATAATAGATTTGAGAGGTGGCTCTCTTTCCATCATTGACACTCAAATATTATGTTTCCTCAAATCCCAATCACAGTTAAAATATACAAATAAAATATTTTATATGTATATTCTATTTTATATCACAAATTTCTAACAATTTCAAATTAATATTGTCCCTGATCCTTGCAAACTATGAAAAAACAGTTATAAAATGAAAAATAGAATAGATATGAATACCAAGACGTATCAATTTTAAGCCTAAGACTAAATTCTTAGATAGATCCAACATAAAATATTCTTCAAAAGAAATATCAGAGTTGTTTTTTTACAGTCAATTATTATATATGTACCTATGCCGAAACTGAAAGCATTCCAGAAAATTCAGACACGGTTAGTACGAGAATTGGAGAAAAAGTTTTCTGGCAAACATGTCATGTTTATTGGTGAGCGTAAAATTTTACCCAAGCCAACGAGAAAAACACGAACCAAGAATAAGCAGAAACGCCCTAGAAGGTAAAAAGATAAAGAGAAAATAAAATATAAAAATATATTTTTGTGTAATTAAATAAATGATTATATTAGTGTATCATCAATAAAATTATTTTTACAGGGATTTGAATGTAATAGACATATGCAATTAATAAAATAAAATAAAATAATATTTTATGTTTTCTTTCAGCCGTACATTGACTTCTGTCTATGATGCAATATTGGAAGATCTAGTGTATCCTATAGAAATTGTTGGTAAGCGTATCAGAGTCAAACTCGATGGGTCGCAGCTTATTAAAGTTCATCTTGATAAGAATGAACAGACGAATATTGAACACAAGGTATATATGATTTTTCTTTATTCTTCTTGGAATTTTTTTATTATATTATTTGATAATAAATTATTATAATTTCAATACATTTTTTAATAGGTCGATACTTTTGCTTCAGTTTATAAGCAATTGACTGGACGGGACGTCACATTCGAATTTCCCGAATCTTATGTATGATAAATGTAAGAAAAAATAAAAGTATTTTAATCAATATTCTCATGCATATTTTTTTATTTATTTTTATTTTTTGGTATTTGCTCATCAGCTGTCGGTTTAATTAATATAGGTTGCATTCTGACATTCACTGTTAGTATTGAAAATATATATGTATATTATATATAATATATTTATAATGGTAATAATGAATACCGAAGCAGTCAGACTGATGTTCATAATCTGTTCTTATATCTAAAATCGTCTTAAGTAATAAACTTACACAGTTATCTCATTAGTTGAAATGTATTCAATCTTAAGGAATTGACTATGAATGCCTCTCACAGACTACTTGAAATTCACTGAAAATTAGGAAGGATAAATAAAAATTGCACTATTTATTTTCAAAGTAAATTAAATTTGATTTTTTACAAGAAATATAGCAAGATATGAACATGTATAAAAACATTTATAAAAACATCTTTCAATATTTAGATGAAATTTTAATATAAATTATATTTGAAAGAAAGATTGTATTGCTGATAGCTACATAAATTATATACATTTGTGGCAATAAAAATATATTAGAACTTTTAATTCGGCTTAGAAGTCTGTTCGCGTTGCTTGCTACTTGCTACTTGCTTGCTGCTTACTGTTATTTTTTGCATTTAAATTTCTCATTCTTTCTTTGTTCGTCATCTATCGAATATATCTATCTTATTTTAGTATCGAAAATTTAAAAAAATATAAGCAATAGACTAAGATTCATATTATTTACGAGCGAGATTCAATTGGATATGTTGCTAGTTAAAATTAAATAAATATAAAACTTCTTGATTGGTGATTCACTGGAAAAATAAAAATTCCTGACTGACTGCTAAAAGCCACCATATTGTTGGCTGTGCAAAACAGTCATGCGCGAGAGACAACTATTAGTATGCTTTTTGACAGAGTGAGCCTATCGTTCTTTCTTACACTGTGACCTTGTTTTAAAATAAAATTTATAATATATAATATATAAATTTATAATATTATAATTATGCAATTTCACAAAAATTTAAAAAATCGCTCTAATATTGCGCGGAGGCTGCGTTCCAATATTCACTGCAAGTACTGAAAATCTACAGTATACGTGACCTGAACTATATATTTTCAGTACTGGCAGTGAATATCGGAACGCAGCCCGAAACGCATGTGGTCACATACATAGCTCATGTTGAAACATTTCGTCAGATATGACAGGTTTCCTAATCCTGAATAATGCAAATTTTAACGGTTATTATATCTCAATTCGTGGACTAGAGCGATGCTTTTTTCTGCTAGATTTTTTTATTTTGTGCAAAAACGCGTCGAATAAAGGACCTCTATTTTTATCAAAATCGGGGAGGTGGGGGACCTAAATTAAACATTTACCAACATTTTAAATAATTATATATAATATATATAATGATTGATCGTCCCTCTTTATCTAACTGTCATTTCTGTATATAGCACGGAACAAAACCATAAAATCGTGGACATAGCACGAATGAGAACCATGCAATCGTGGACATTACCTACAGGATCATAGACATTGTTACGTAGTTCAATATCCACGTTTTTATGGATAGAGGCGCTTCAAAATGAAGTGTAGTTACAGCTACATCGCGGGTATGTCCGCTCTCAGGCTTCTCTCTGCTACAAATATGTTCTTTCTCGAATAAAAATAAAAAACGTATTATCGGTAGTTCAATTATTATTGGTTAGTACATCATTCAGTGTCTGGTTGATAATCTAATTGCAATTACAATTATAACGGCTGCGTTCAGCAGAAAAAGCAGCTTTGCAACAGTTGTACAATTCTTTATTATAATTGGTTTATACATTTAGAACTATGGTGATCTAAGTAGCGTAAGAACCAATCATAATAAAGAATTTTACAACAATCGCAAAGATACTCTTTCTGCTGAACGCAACCAATTACTATCCATTTGCATTTGCTAGTAAATCCGACAATATGGCGTTTACGTTATGGGCACTTTATGAAGCAACTCTGTTATGCTTGAATGCAATTTGTATTTTGAACGAGGAAAGATTCCTTGCCAAAGGTAATAATTAAACACGTACACATATTCATTATTTTTTAAAGAATCAATTATAATCAATATTAACCTCATGTGTGAAGCGAATATTTTAGGTTATAATTTAATGAAGTTTACAATTTTATACAAAATTTTTCTTTTTTGAGATTTGTAACGATTAGCAGAATTTATTATTAGCAAAAAAGAATGGAGGAATTAATATTGAATTCTTTTATTACAGTTGGCTGGGCATCGTGGCAAAATGTACAAGGATTTGGAGAACCTCCGACAGTTAAATCACAATTATTGAACCTTATTAAGTCAATACGAACTGTGATGAGAAGTAAATAATGAACAATTAATTATCTATTTAATATTCTGATTATTGCATCTTTTTCACATAATGTGTTTTTTTTTCAGTCCCTTTGATAGGCTTGAACATTGTGACGATACTTTTGAAGTTAGTGCTTGGCTGATAAATAAGTATGCAAGTGTACGAATGGGATGTGCTATATCCAACTTGGTTTGAAGATGATATGTAGATAAGAAAATTATTAAATTATATTTTTACTTTTACAACTAATTTTTACTTTATTATATAACTTTGTATAATTTATATACATTCATATATTCGTTATATAATTTACCTGAGTTGATTTTGAGATGAGTATATAATGAAAATAATAATTCATATATTTTTTTATATTTAGATTAATTATAACAATATTTTATGATCTTAGTATAATTGTATAGATTATTCAAATTTTATTGTGATTATCAAGTTACCGAGAAGATAAGTTTTTTATGAATATATATAAATATTTTGAATTACAAATTCTAAAAATTTAATTGCAATTATAAGTTTTAATAATTTACATCAGCGAGCGAATCAGCGATTTAGATACCGATTACGTTTGTCTTTTTTCTAAAATTAAAATTATTCCGACACATTAAAAAAATCGTTTTGATATGTTTTAAAAAGTTTTTTGAGACATTTTCAATTAATGCCAGTATATAAGAAATTTAATAAGACAGAAGAAAGTCGTGGTCTTTGATTTTAGATTTTAAATTCCTAGAATTCTATTCCTAACATGTATGCAATTGTTCCTTGCAATCTACAAGGAAAGAACTGACTATTAATATTTAAAAATATTGATTTATTTTAGAAGTAAGATATTTTCTTTCTTGTCTTAACAACTCTAAAAAGTATTTGATGAGAAGAAAATCTTGATTTTTTGAAAAAGGAATATTATTAGTTTAAACAACCTTTTTTTAGTATATAACTCAAGTATTTTAATATTTGAATATTAGGGAAAGTGTCGTGATTTTTTTATGTGCTTTTAATTGTTGACATTATTGATCATAATTTTATAAATTATTTTGCTTTCACAAGCTTTAATATTTTTAATTATATTTTTTTATATACAAATTAAAGTCGACTGTGCTAATGCAGTTTTGAACATTGGTTATGCATTGATTCACAAGAGGCCTCTAGTATCAACAAATACGCCGAAAGCTATAATTTTATAAATTATAGATAAATCTCAAATCTTAACAACATTTTAGGGCTCGTTATTTTATTCTTAAATAAAAACGATTATATTTACAATTCTTATGAAAACTATTGAATATAGTTGCGAAAAATTAGATATATTAACAAAATTTGTGTTAATATTTTTTCATATTTTACTAAAAATCTATAATTACATGTATAAAACAAAATATATACATATATATATATACATATGTATATACACATATAAAATATTAAATCATTAAATATTTACTATTGGTAATAAAATATATTATTAATTATTTATATTTATTAACTATTAAATACAATAAATTTAATATAAAATTATTGAATTTTATATTCATTTAACTATTTTTTATTAACGTTTGAAATGTATACTTATATTAAATATTACATATACATTTTATAATCTTATATGATTTCATAAATAGCAAAAAGATTTAAAATCCATCTATTTAACAATATTGCCGCTTGCTATAAAAAAATATAACTTAAAAGTAAAGTGTCTGTGTATAATGTACATTAGCAGCTTTCAATACAAACTCGCGAAGAAAGCTTTCTCTTTAATTTTCCTTTAATCGCTCACAGCTCAAACATTGTCCGACCAATTTTTTTCGCCGTTTTTGCCATCATTTATGACTGGACCATCGCGCAAGCGATGCGAAAGGATTCTCCGACTCAGGATTTAAAAGGATGTGTGCCTTGGATAATTCTTCTGTGAGTTAGCCGCTTATACGCCGCGGAACAGCTGGAAGCGGTAGCCTAGGTCGTAGCTTCCGCTCATTTCCATTTTCAATTATTCCTTCCCGGATCATTTGAATCGTAAATCGTCTGGTCAACGGCCAGCGCGTAAATAAATCGTCGTCGTTCGCGGAAGATTGTCCGCACCGACCGAGCCAATGGTGCCTTCGGCGCCTTCCTTCTCGCTGGAACGAAGTAACAGGACGCTCTCGGAAGACGCTCCATGATTTTTCTCTAACTTTCTCCCCTTCCTCGGCTTTCTCGGGATGAAAGAAGTGCCTTGCAGGGACAATCAATGACTATTATACCAGATTCACTTGTGTATTTCGTTGTGCGCGAGCACGTAAAGATTTGTTAACATTATTAAACGTGACTTGCACGAACCTACACTCGCGCGATCGTTGTAACGCCTGACTACATTTCCTCCACGATTCCATTGTTAACTTATTTTTTTCTTTTGTCACCATCAGAATCGAGTCAATTACGGTTATCACTTAAAAATGTTTATCAAATATGTATGTATGTATGTTAAAATAATGTATGTTAAAATAAATCAAATGTATGTTAAAATAATGACAAAAACATAAAAATTTAATAAATTGTTTTGTTATTTTTTTATTGTAAGAATTGAGTACAATTTATTGTACGATTTAAAAATTATTTGACTTTTAAGTTTATGTTGAATTTGTAGAAAGGAATTCGCAACACTAATATTCAAATTAAATAATATATTTGGGACATATTTTGCTTTAAAATTATTAACTACATGATTGATTACTTTTACATATTTTATATTATGTAATATAAATTTAAATTATTTGATAGTAACTTAAAATCTTCAATTAATAGTTTTTTTATTTCTTACACTTAATTTACAAGATCTTTAATTTAAAAGATGTACTCGCAACTGAGGATGTTTATCATTTATTAGGAAAAATGTCAATTACAAATATTTTTTATAAAAGTGATCAAAATTATTTTATTTATTCTTTAACTTTTTTATAACTTAAATCTATTTATTTAATATTCAAATTTCAAAACGGTATAAATATTAAAAACATATTCTTTTTCAATTTCGATAATTTTGCTACTAGTGTAGAATCAAAATATCTTTAAACATCTTTATGAGTGAGAAAAACTTTTCATTTAATATCACAAAACTTTCTCAACAAAATTTATGGCACGACAACTGTTCTTGTTATTATAGTAGTTTTTAAATGTTATAGTAGTTTTTAAATGCTAATAATCTCATTGTTTATAAAGTATAATTGATTGATTTTATTTAAAATAATATTTGATTCCCTCTAGAGAGCTATAAGAATAACCATTCTTCTTTCCAGCATCTCTTCTAATTTGATTTAGAAAATTATACATTAATTCTATCACTTGAATAAAATTGTTGTGTTTGTCTAAAAATTAAACTTACTTATCGCACGATCAGATACAATGGAATTTTTAAGTAAGCCAAAGTTAATCGACGTCCGCTCGGCGTTACCGTAATATCGATTATAGATTGAAGTCGAAGAATTTGCGGACGCAAGGAGTGCCGGCCTCCCTGCGTGAGGTAATGTTATAACGGCACGGTTGTTTCTTCCTTTTTTTTTTTTTGTTACCGAGAATTACCGGTCCCAACGGCGCACGGCCGAGATGCAATGTTCGATCGCGGTTATGCAAGCATATTTGCCCGATTTTACCACACATCGCAATGCCGGTTGCTGACGGTTCAAACGGTCCGATCAGCTAGATTCAGGACACGCGCGCCGATTCATCGTTCTTTTCACTTAGCTCCGCTCACCTGACAGAAAAATACTTGCGAAATTCGCTCATATTCAGCAGGGGACTCCCCGCTGCCGATTCTTCATTAAGCAAGGAAACACGAAGATGAAATCATGAGATTAGCATAGGCGTAATTAACACGATTTCGGAAGACGACGTTTGTAATGATCGCTCAACTTTAAAGATTAGCTTCCATTAGCGACTTTTGTCGCTGGAAATTGCTTTCGAGAGAGAGAGAGAGAGAGAGAGAGAGAGAGAGAGAGAGAGAGAGAGAGAGAGAGAGAGAGAGAGAGAGAGAGAGAGAGAGAGAGAGAGAGAGAGAGAGAG